TCAGGCTATCTAGTGAGTATTTATAATGATTACATTCATAGTTAATATATATGCATCTATGCATACATTAGTCATTATGTTTGAGTTAGAGGAGAAGAAAACAAATCATTGTGTATCAAGAATACCAAATGCACTACCGAAATTTTATTAACATAGATAATTAAATTATTTATAAAGTATTATTTTTTTAACATACATTTTACTTTTTTTTTTTTATATAGATAAAACTAAAATATTTGAATCAAATTTACCACATCAGCACCAGAAATGTTTTTCGGACTAAACTGATGAAGGGAATTGAAATTGTGAGCAATGACGACCTCAATATCAAAGAAGGAGAAGGCAAACTGCCCTTGATTAAGACAAAGCAGAAGAATAAGCCGTTGCTGCTCCTTTTCCCCTGGATGGGATGTAAGCCCAAACAGTCGGACAAGTTCATCAACATCTACCTTAATAAAGGATTCGATGTCATGATGGTTTCATGCTTCGCATCAGAAATCATCTGGTGGTATCAAGGTGTTGAGGTTTGTAAAAGTAGTATTGTACCAAGCAACATTATTTCTGATAAAATTTTGTATTGTTACCATAGACCCAGACTTTCCATTTTGATTGGAGGGGGGGCATGAAAGGCCAAAAAAAAAAAAACAGTAGTTCTTATCATGTGTAAAAAATATTCACATTTTTATAATGAAATGAGCAAATATAATATTGAATATTTAAAAATAATTTCATATATTTGTTTGGAAGTTGTAAAATTGTTTTAAGTGAATATAGGTTATACTTAAAAATATCTGAAAAAAAATTGGATTTATTACAATTTGTATAGATTAAACAGGAGAGAAAGATGGACATCCTTTAAAACATAAATACATTTCTAGAACTTTTCCAGCTACTTTCTTAGTTTGCACAACTTTAAAATAAAAATATAATTTTTTCACAGTCTAACTAGTTACGTAAAAATGTCTATAAAAGTGTTCTCTATAAAATATATTTATGCTTATACTTATTAAATATATTTGTTTCCAAGTTTATTGTAGAGAATTTATAAGAAAATCACATAGCAATGGTGGTGTACAAGTGAGAGATGAATGAATTATAAAATTCTATATCTAGGAAATGTTGCTATATAATCATCTCTGGATGTAAACGATAATTTAAATAATAATATTTAGGTTGTGGTAAAATAGTCACTACTTATAGGCTTTAGCCTTCTTATAGAAATTTTCTTAACCAATTTTAGTTCACTTATATTATTCATTCATGTATCTTTTATTTGTTATCAATTTGAATTTTTTTTTTTACTTCAAATTATTGGAGGGGTAAACGATATTCTCTCCCCCTTGACATTTTTATTGGGACGATCTTCCTCCCCCCTGTAGTATGCGCTTATGATTATTACGAAGCTCAATACTTGAATATTTCGACAGTTTATTTTCTAAATTTTTTATTTACCTTCATCAGAATTAGAGATTTAAAATAAAAGTATTTTACACAAGCAAATTTCTGATTTTTTCCCTGGAACCCCAGATGCATGTTGGTCCCCTAATATTTTAAAGCCTGGATTCATTAAAAAAGTGTTATCAAAACTTGAGAGACGCAAGTGAAATCCTCTCTTTGTGAACCTGGCAACTATCTTTTTTATTTGTAGTCCGACAAAAATACCCTCATTTCATATTAGAAAGCTTTAAAATCGTGCTCTGGAGCAATTAAAAATTATTTTATCAGGCCTCACGTTATACAGGGTACACAAGAACTGTGAGCTTCTCAATCCGAAAAGTCTTCTAGAGTTTGCTAACACTACCAAATAATTGTTTTGAAGTAAACAGCGGACAGATTATGGTCACAATAGACCTGAGTAGACCATGGAGTACCATGCCACAAAAAAAAAAAGTTAAATGCAGTGCAGAAAGATATTATTTTTTTGTCTTCCTAGTATCAGACTATAAAAAGAAAAATAAGCATAATAAACAAGAATATTGTTATTTTTAGTTCTCAATATAAAAAAAAGAAGACAAAAGCAAACTTTAAAAGTGTAACAAAAGATTAAATTTTTTATCTTAATGTGTTATATCTTTTTTTATTTTACTATAAACATAATATGAACTTTTTTTAAGAACCCACAACTCATAGATTTCAGAAAAATTAACCTTTTTTATATATAGAAAAAAGCGAGTACAATACTAGATTTCTTGCGCCAAAATGAGTCTTATCAACCGATAATCTACCATGGCTTTTCTGTCGGCAACGGCCTCTGGACATCAATGCTGTGGCAAATGGCTCAAAATGTGGACAAACATGGACCAACAGCAAGTAGGATAAAGGGACAAATCTGGGACTCGGTGCCACAGACTTCGAATGTTGTCAGAAATGTTTGTTACGGTGTTTTTCCTACAAATAGAACGATGGGCCAATATTTGTTTAGGATTGTCAGGTAAGTTATCAAATTCAAGGCAACAAATTATTTAATCTTTTGGTTATCATGTTGTGTGGTTGAAAGTAGTTGGGACCAAACTGCAAACCTTAATTTTTAAATTAGATATCCTTCCCTCACTATCATAAGACGAAATAAAAACTCTGAATTAAACATAACATAATTCATCCTATAAAATTCATTACATAAAAATTTAATATTTAACACTAGTTTGGACAATGAGGCAATAAGATTTAATAAAAAACTAATTTAGTCCATGGTACAGGCTCCTTTTTATCAAATTACTAACATCCCCTGAAACTTGGTGAATAGCTTCATCTCATTCTAACCTACAATTATTTTATTTACGAAAACTCTTGGAATTGGGACGTTTTCAATCTGGAGATCAGCAAACTTTGTCTATTTAATTAGGTACTAAAAACTTGTAATACTCATTTATTTTCCACATGGATCATAAGATAATTTGATCACAAAATCGATAAAAAAAGGTGGCCTACAAAAACATTAGCCTATATAGCCTTGTTATTATGACATTTTGGGAATGTAGGTCAAGCCAAACGACTCAATATTTTTGAAGGCCACCCTTTTTCTCAAGTTTGTTCTCAAGTTATCTTATGATTCCAGCAGAAAAGAAATGGTTCCAGAAGAAAAGATATTTATGACTTTTTAGTACCAAGTTAAATAAACAAAGTTTGATGATCTCCAGATTGCAAATGTTTCATTCCGAAAATTTTCGTAAATAAAATTTGTAGGTTACTATGAGATGAAGCAATTTACGAAGTTTCAGGCGGATGTTAATAATTTGATAAAAAGGGGTCTGTATTATGGACCAATATTCCTTGTATTGATAAAATGTTTAATTTTTAGGGTAATCTTGGATATAACCAATACTGATGGTTTGACCCCACTCTATGATAGAAATGCCCGTATTTTCAAAAATCCACCTTTTAATATACCATCTTTGTTGTTTTGTTCAAAAGGTGATATGTATAGCGAAATAGAAGGAAACTTAGCTGCTTTTGAAAACTGGAGGTCCACAGGATTACATGTAAGTGCTGATATTTATATATTTCATTTTTGTTCAGCGAACAAAAAAGTCGCTAAGAGGGTCATTATAATACACAATGGTGTCTAGGCTTTTTCAATTCTCTATTATGAAAATTTATTAAATTATGTAATTGCTAGCCAAATTATAAATCTAACAAGATTTTGTAACCACTACTATCAACGATATCATTTACACTTTTCTTTTCATTAATTGAAATAGCAAATATCCAATCCAGGCCATCTTCAAAAAAATAGAATAAAAATCATTCAAGCAGATTACAAAAATTATCTTACATTTATTTCTTAACTCTATTTAATAGAACAGTTAGTAGGAAGTTTGAGATAAATAATATGTATATATATCTATATTTTTTAGGCTCACATTAAATATTGGGAAAAATCGAAGCATGTAGGACACTTTCATCTCTATAAAGAGGAATATGTGGGGGCAATCAACTCTTTTTTTAGATCAATTGGTATTGAAAAACGAGAATTAGTAGAAGAAGTCAGAGCTCCTTATAAAATCCAATCAATACAAGAAATAAGCATAAGACAATGAATTAACTGAAACAACTATAATATTAAGTTAGTAATATAAGTATATGTGAATATCTTGTGTAAATGTTAAATAATGATATACTGAGAGGTATAAAAAAACAAGATGGAACAAATGAGATCCTTCATTAAATAAGTGAATCCCTCTCCTTTTCTCTTTCTGTAATATCTGAATCTCATTTTTTTTAGATATATATAAAACTTTCTTCCTTAAAAAAAAACAAACCTCTAGTTAAAGTTAAAGTATTAGGAAGTAAATTTTTATTAAAAAGTTTTTATATTTTGTTTATTTATTTATTTTTTATTATCAGAAATCAATAATAAATTTTGAAGTGAATATTTCGTATTCATTATTTAAATTATATTTATTATACTTGGCATAGCACCTAAGAGTTGTGTAATCTATTAATTATAAAGAAAAACATTACTGTTTAATATTCTGTGATAGCTAATGTCTTTATTTCGTTCTATAATTAGTGTTATAAGAAAGTTCGGCCGAAAAGGTTCAAAGTTCGAGTGGCGGCTTTTTTAAATTAATCACAGGTCAGACGGACCCACATTTTTTAAAAATAGATCTGTGAGCTTCAATTTCTTTTTCTGATAAATTAAAATATTTACCGTGAAATATAACTTTGCATTTGGAGCAACAGAGATTATATTTATCGTCATTATTGCAATGGTACTCTTACAGTAAGAGTAACGGCAGTATTGCAAAACAAAGGATTGAACCATTTTGAATAAATAAATTAAATATTACTCACAGTTAACGTAAATATGGTCGTAATTTGTGTTTTGATGCAAAAGAAAACACTGTCTAATCTAATGCTGTTAGGATTAATGCTAACAGCAGTCTCACAGCTCGACAAAATTTAATAATCTCAACACATCTTTGGTGAACTCCATGGAAATATCGTAAGAATTTTAAAATATTATAAAATTCAACTTTAACATTGGAAAGAAAAGAGCTAAGTATACGATATTATGAGAAATAGTAGATGTTAACGTGTTGCCGTCTCTGACCAGACAGGATTATCTATCTAAACATAGGTGGATTTCATGAGAGCTATAATACATCCATAATAATGGGAAAATGTCATTTATCAGTGACTTTATGTTTTAGGTTTATTTGTCACAAGTAGCTATTCTAAATAATTTTAAAAAAATTAAGAAACAAAGGAAAAAAGGTTTAGAAGAGAGAAAAATTTAAACACGAAAGGGGGAAAAAATGGGTAACGAAAGCAAGAAGTTAAGTTGTAGGTACAAGATAGATTCTGAATCAAATTAAAATATCTTTAAGAACTATGGAGCCTCAAAAGTAATAAAAAATAATCATTACAAGATGTTTCGGGTCCCCAAGTTCATGGACTTAAGATCGAGATCGCTTTCTTTGCACTGGACGAACTATACCAGCAAAAAACGTAAAATTTATGAGGCTAGAGTAAAAGGTTGGTAAGAACACTTTACTTTGTAAGTAGTTTCTCATGGGATATTCCTAAAAATGGTAGAGTAGAGGAGGAAGCTGTTCCTGGCAAGGGGGGAAAAGAAGATGAGGAGGCAAAGAGAAGTGGCCATTATTTTATTTACCCTAATTTAATTCATACACAAATTGGCATGAGTAAGTCCCATTATTTTTTTTTCTTTCTGTTGTTGCCACCTGTGCTATGTATTTTCATTGTGTTTATCAACAACCTAAAATATAAAAAAATAACCTCATCAGGAAAATTCAACGGAACATTGACCTCCATTGTATTAATTATGACTTTCCCCTCCATGAAGTATATATCAAAATATAGCTTAAAATTCTTGCTTAACATTTCATAGTTTTTATTCATACAGTCTAATTTAATGCAAAAAGGTTTCTGTGCATTACCACTCAGTTGGAGACATTGTTAAGACCTTCTGGAGACCAAAGTTGAGTCAGGAATGATGGATATGTGGAACATATATAGACTAGTGAATATATAAATTTATAAAAAAACAAAGCAATTAAAATCAAGAGTGAGTAGTACTTTAATTAAGTAAGATTTTAACCACAAAAGTAGTTCTGTTTTGTTCATTATTTCACATTAATGTTCTGTTTAATAATTAAAATTAAGCTAAACTAATAAATTAAATTTAAAAAGAATAATGACGAAATATATATATATTACATTTATAACAAAACCATTATGAAAATAGTTTAAAAAAAGCTTATTAAATTATTTTGCCACAAACATTTTGCAAAATAAACTTTTGACTTAGTAAAAGATAACTACTGCTTTTAAATATATGGTTGTGGAAACTCAAATGTAACCTCTCTTCCCGTCAGTTTCTTGTACATCATAATGAATGTATCAATCTGCAAAATAACAAGTCAATATTATTATTTTAAGAATGATTACATTTAAATAAGAATTTTCATATTTGGATGAAATGAGAAAATAACCTTCTTGTATTTAATTCATATCTCTCTAAAATATGAAGTTTAAAAATAACAAAAAAAAAAACAGACAGATATTTGGCACAGTAAAAAAAAAAGAAAAAGAAGTTAAAAAGGCTTGAAAAAACATTAGTTAGAATCTTATGTAATGGCTATTGCTAAGGGGTCTCTTTAAATATACGTATTTGGCTTTTCTTTGAATTAAACACCCCTTTAAGGAAATATCTAATTTTTTCAATTAGTAAACATTTTCACAAAAACCTTATCTTGATGGATTTTTTTTATCATAAATATACTAAAATTTCAATTTCAGCTGGTATTGGAGATAGTGAGTTCAGTTCTTCTTATCACTATCATATTTCTCTGCTCGGATAACCAAAAGTTATGTAATTTTTTCTTTAGAAATAAAAAGTAGAAACTAAATAAAAATTCTACTACACCACAAAGCTATATTTTTGTGAAAAAGGAGTTAAAACAGCCACTAAAAACTAACAGGACAATATTTTGGAACCTGTTGTAAAGCCTCTAAATGATACCCTGTTTGCTGGAAGTCATTGGGTTTTCCAGCAGGATTCCATTCCAGCTCACAAGGCCAGGTCAGATCAGCAGTGGCTGCAAAAGAACATTCCAGAGTTCATCTCTGCCTCTGATTGGCTCTCCGGAAGCCCCTGATCTCAACCCACTAGATTATCGGCTTTGGTCCAAAATGGAGAGAATGGCATGCCATAGAGCAAGCCCTGATAATTTAATCGTTTTTATTTGTAACATACTTTTCTAGATTACAGATATTGTTATTACTATACAGGAAATTTTTTTTTTTAGTTAACAATATTTTCCAGGTAAACCATATATGAAAAATATGCACTGTTGTGACTATATATTAAAAAACATACAATTTCTGGGTAAGAGTAATGGTTGAATTTTGAAACACCAATACTGCAAAGTCAGTTAAAATTTAATTGATTAAATTATTCTTTATATTTCCACATAAAAAAGTTTCTACTCACCTTGTGTTCAATATTCACTTGCTGAAGCCGGTCCAGGTGAACTCTGATGATTTGTCTACCATCAAGCCTCATCCGAATCCTTTTGCCGATTATTTCAGCAGGAAAAACCATATCTTCAAGGATCTCATCATAGACTGATGTTAGTGTTCGACTGAAAAGAATTAATAAATTAATTCCTTTTCAATTTAAAAAAAAAGATTAATAAAACAGAAGAAAGAAGACTTCCCAACTAAATCTTTATCACAAGTATTAGAATTAAATGTTTTTGTTAACAACCTTCTCAATCAAGAATGTTGAACTTTTTAAAAAGTTAATGATAAAGCTACATTGAAACACAAACATTAGTAAGCATTGAATGTACAAGTGTTAGATACTCAAATAAAATAAAATATACTGGTTGGATTGAAACAAACATGACACAGGATCGACCATCTTTCAAGCAGCAACATATCTCAGCCAATAACTCATTAAAGAAACTATCTTGTATCAAACAACTATCATAATATTATAAAATACGGCTGTGTTTATTTCAATTTACATAGCTACGTTTCGGACGGTAAACCATCTTCAAGCCATCTACATAATAAACACCATTAATTTTATATTTGGATGTAATTATACACTCTATGAAGGTGGTATTGGTCCTATTTAATTTAATATTCTATGAATTATAACTCTAATTAGGTTAAGTCACTTTTTTTAATTCTGTAATTAACACTACCAGTTAATTTGTAAACTAACAGTAACACTAGATAGAATGAGGTTGCTTTTTTAATTCAAATCCAGAAATATCAAGGTAAGATCAACTGACATAATTTTTTTAGATTTTAAAACATCCTTACTTTAATCATGCTTTTTCTTTTTTTATGTAGCCCAAAATCAGATTAAATTATAAGTAAACAGTACATATGCCAATATAATCACAAAATTGAAATTTTAATTAATCAAATGTTTTAATAATAATCCTTAATAAGTGAGCAGTATAAACAAAAATATGACAATGTGCTATCTCCCAACCACACTTAAAATTTAATATGACTTTGGACTACAAGAGAACTCCAGCCCGAGAACTTCGGGATGACTGAAAAGGGTGTGGATGAGGGATCTACTTAAATAATAATTTAGTAAATAAAAACCATGGAAGGGTTACCGCTGGGTTTTACTTTTCCTCATGCCTACCAAGCCTTTTTATTATATATAATTTATTATTATTTTTATTTCATTTATTACTTTCACTTACCTATATATGTAATATATAGTAAGGGTAAGTATTGCGATCGTGAAAATGTTTGAATCTGAGTTTTCAACAGAAATACATGTTTTGAGGTCCCCGGAGTCCAAATAACCAAGTCTCGCAAAATGATGTGTGTGTGTGTGTGTTTGTGTTAACAGTCTAGCTCAAAAATAAAAAGTCATACAGAAGTGAAATTGCTTACTAAAGATTTTTATATGCTAGGGATGTTACAGCAACTTTTTTGTCAAAATTGGCTAACCAGAAATTGCACTTTATATAATGCACTAAACACATTTTTACGATTATCTCGAAAACCGCTCTAACGATATTGACTAAATTCATGATATCAGTATAAAATTAAGCAGTTTTAAATAAAATGTTATTATTCTGATTGATGTTCTCTAACAGAGCTTAAATGGCTAATTTTCAATATTAGCTTTCTCTAAAGTACTTTTCATTTTTTTTATTTGAAAAATTGACCATTTCAAATTAGTTTCTGATATGAAAAATGGACAAACATAAAATATGAAAGAATTTGATAAATAACTAAAGGAGAAATAAGAGATCGTAACAGAGAATAGTTGTAATTGAGGAACCAAAGGAATACGAGCGCACCCAATCTCACCCGAAAAATTAGAACACGCTTCCATACGTATCATGAGATTAATATAATACGGATTCCGACAATATATAAATATACATATGTGGTTTTCATTATTGGTATTTAATATTTCATTGTATAGATTAAAGCAATATAAATATTAAAATTCGTATATAAGAGGGTATTTATACAAATAAAAATGAAACATAAATAAATATAGAATCTTTAATTTTTACTTTCACTTCGCAATGTCTGAAGATACTTATTTCTGCTAAGAAGAGGGTGGGTAAGTGAAAGTTGTGTGATGCACCCACCGCACCAGATTTTTTTTCTGACTATGCCAGTACATCTGCTGATTGTCGATAATTGTAATTGACAGGTGCGGATAAATAAATGAAAATGCAACACAAAAAAACTTCAAGTTAAAATAAATATGCTATCTTGTTTTAAATCATCCACATAAACAGTACATAGATTATAGTTTCAAATCATTTATAAATTAAAATTTAGATTCAGGCTGTTCAGTTAGAAATATTGAATGAAGGTTTAAAGAATCCCTTTAGTGGCAGTGGTGCATGGCTGTACATACTTAAAATCAAGCACTTGGATTAAGTAATGAAGTTTAGGAAAAAATAAATTACCTCCTTGGTCTCTTTTGCTTGCATTTTCTTCTTGATTTTCTAGTAGGTTTTGGAAGTATCTTTCTGTCTCCGACAAACACAACATGCTTCCCAGAAAACTTTTTTTCCAACTCTCTGACGAGGCGAATCTGAATTTTTTGAAAACTCTTCAATTGCGGCATTGGAACATAGATAATAATTGACTGTAAACAAAAATAAATGTTATTATAACTTATTCCGAACAAAAATAATGATAATAGCAAATCTCAAAGACTTAATATGGAATAGTGAGCACAGACAAACCAAAATCAATTGAAGTTGATATGGGTAACATCTGGTCGAAAATGAAACATTTAGTTAAAGATAAGAAAAAAGACACAATCAGAGGACTTCCTGGCAGACACTAGTCAGTTGATAAAATCAATTAAAGAAGTAAATAACCAATTATATTGGTTGTTTTATTATAATAGATTATTTATGGGTTTATTAACTGTTAAGTGTCTGCGAATAAGTTCTGAGATTTTTTTTTCTCCAAATATGTACATCATCAAAGGAATTTAAAAAATGATCTGTTTCCCTGAAGATACTTGATTTGGAGAAAATTTGGATAATTTAATAATAAATTTTTATGACCAAGGCCTCTTAATTACGAATTATTAGATACATTTAGAATAATCAATATTTATGCATTCATTATGTCAAATGTTTTCGTTTTTCAGAGGCTGACTTACCAAAAAGTTAACAATAAAATAATAGCTGATTACAACTACTATTAAATGTAGTAGTTAATATTTTTCAAACTTAACTGAAGCTCTCAACTACATTTTTTTACCAAAGGGATATGCTATGCCATGCTTTGTTCGAAAGTATATGGTCTTATTATTATTTGCAAATTAGATAGATGCAAATATCATTCGAATTCACAAAGATTGCGAGAGACTCGATCCATTTCACTTTTTAATTGAAATAAACTGCCAAGTACCAGGACAGCTTGGTCAATAGATTTTGCCAATTTATATCTTACAGTTAAAATGAATGAAAAAAAAAAAATTATCAGAGACCCACAGTTTGCAGATGAGATAGTGCTTGACCAATATTTTCTTTATTAAAAAATCTAAGGTTCTTTTGAGATTCATACTTCTACTGAACAATACAGAACAGATGTCTTTCAAACTCAAATATAATAATAATAATAATCTGCCAATATTTTAAATATTAAAATAATATTTTTATGTTTTTTATTAAAAGATAAGGAGCATTTATTTATACGAAACATTGTTCAAATATGATTTAATTTTATAAAAAGTAGGTATAATGAATAATTTTGAGTTTCACACCTTCCTCCCAGCAATATCTAATTCCTTCGCCTTTGAGATGTACAGCTCTTGTAACTGGGCTTTAAGATCACTGTTTAGTTCCAAATCGAGAAGTGCCTGAGCAAGAGATAATTCAAACGCATCCGGCTCAGCACCGCCTGCTTTTTTTATCTTACTGGCCATCTATAAAATTAATGAATAAGTTAATAGTTGGAGACTGCAGAATAATAAAAAAAAAAAAAAAAAAACCATCTCTGTTCATCCCCAAAAAATAATTAGCACATTTGACGATTCACTTAATCATATTACACATCATTATATAAAAGAAAAATTATAAAATCATGAAGGTTCAACAGAAATAAGTCAAAATGTGATAAGTAGTTTTGAATAATAAAATCAGAAGACTATAACAGTGCAACAAATACTTTTAAAATAATAAAAAACTATTTTATGTTTCCCAAATACTTGTTTTTCTGTAATATGATTTTCAGTTGTTTAGGGAGACAGCACATGATTACAAATTTTAATCTTGCAACTTTAGCACTTATGTATTAATAGAAATAGGTTACTATGAATACAATGTTAACTATTTTTTTCAGACCAAGATGTGAAAATGAGAAACTTATACTAAATAAAACTATTGTTTTTCCTTTCTATTAAGCAGGTATAATATGTAAATACAACTTTAGATTTATGGAAAAATATTTGTTTATCTAAGAAAATTAAATATAATTGACATCAAAATCGATCATATTCTTCTTTTAAATTAATAGCAAAACAATCTATAAAATAAATAAGAAATTTTGATCTAAATGAAATACAAACCTTAGACCTGAAGGTTAATAACAGACCAAAGGAAATCACAAGACAATATTGCTCTTGTTCTTTCTGATCGTCCAAATAACCAGTTGAACAACGATTATCGTTTAATAATAAATTTAATGAAAATGAAGTGATTCAGTGAAAGAAGAATAACAGAGCCTCTTAGGAGAAATGCAAGAATCACTCAGCAATATCTTCTCGCGTCAGTCACGTGTTTTAATATAAAGCATTGCTACCTTAAATAAAAAAAATGAATTCATAAATATTAAAAAAAAGTTAAATAGAAGTATCAATAATTCTAAATAACTAATTCGGTAACAGTTTAGATGATGCCGATTCTGTTAAATTAAAAATATAACAAAGGAAAAAATTTTTTTATAGTGAAATAAATCTAATGTAGAAACGTATACGAACTACGTAATAATTATTTTAACTTCCAACTAAATAGAATGAAAAATAAAAAAAAAACTCTGTATGTATAATAAGGCATACCTATTGAATAAAGAATCAATTGTTAATTCAGTAAAAGACCAATACAAGTAACAGCAAAAGATCAAACAGTGTTGACTTGAGTTGAACGCCACATGGTAAATGTTCTTTTGTTTTTCACGATTTGTTCTTAACTAAACATTCTGAATTTAATAAGTATAAATATTAACATCAATTTATCAAAAAAAAGTTAATTATCCTTAGTAAGTACTTAGAAGAAAATCTTGATGTATTCATACTTTTAGTCTTAAGGATTTATGATCATTATCTCATGCTCGGTTTCTCCCGGTGCATTTAGACATTTCACAAACTATGGGAAACAAAATTATCTATCTTAACTAATAGCGACATTATTGCTTGACCTAACTATTTATTTTACTTCTCTTCATGGATGGAAAATATCAAAAACAAGAAACAAAAATACTAGCATAGTAAAATAACCATTTATATATGCACGGCCTCAACCCATAACTAGTTAAGTAAAAAAATGACTGAGTTCAGTAAATTGAAATAATCTTCCAAGCGTTCTAAACATCGTGAAGAAGTTAGTAAATTCACAGTTCTCGTCAAGAATTAAAATTTTTTAGTACTGTGAATCACTAGCGGATCCAGGATTTAATTTTTTGGGGGAGATAGCTTTAGACCGAAAGCTTTTTTTTCATATAATTCGATAATTAATTTGAAAAAAAATACAAAGAAATTAACTCTCTATATGAAATGGTGTTTAAGTGATTCTTGAAGTCCTATTAAATGTAATTACACGAACAAGAATATTTCAAGAGATAGTTTTTAATATTTTTTCTAGATAACATGGTTATATTTTACCGTTTTGTGGGGGGAGGGCTTCAACCCGAAAGCTCCTTCTCCTCCCTCTCCCCCCCCCCTGTAGATCCGTCTGTGCTGTGAATCATCAACTTCTTCAGCCTTGTTTAGAAGGCTTGGAAAATGATCTCAATTTATAGAACTCGCGAGGACCATTTTTCGACTTAAATAGTTATGGCCAAATGTCTCTTTATTTCTAATAAATAATGTCATAACTAATAAAATTATTAATTTTTCATAATATTGGGACATATGAATAAACATTTTACAGTCAAAGTGACAAGGGTTTGAAAATTTATATTTGCCATGTGTTAAAAAAAAAGAAAATGGGAAGCAGTAATAGAGTATTTCAGCAATGTTTTGGAGTGCCTAAATTTATCTCAAAACATTGGACAGTTGTCTCAAAAACCATTTTTTAATTTTAATGCTCAATCAAGTAAATGTTTTCTTCTTAAAAATATCGTTCTCTTCTCTCAGTGCCACAGGCGGATTTACGGGGGGAGAAGCTTTCGGGCTGAAGCCCCCTCCCCCCCCAAAATGGTAAAATATAACCTTGTTTAATGGAAATTTTTTTTTAAAAATACCTCTTAAAGTATTATTGTTTGTGTAATTACATTTAAAAGGACTTAAGGAATCACATAAACACCATTTCATATAGTTAGTTAGTTTTTTTCTGTTTTTCCAAAGTAATTATCGTTATTTTTATGAAAAAAAAAAAAGCTTTCGGGCTGAAGCTCCCCCAAAATTGGCTCGTTTGGTGACTTTTTCTTTCTATTTTAAAGAGGAAATAAAAATGGATGATCTCACTTTTTATTTTAGCTCTAAAAAAACAATAAGAAAATTTCAACTGTATTAAATAATAAGACATTATTCGCAACGTCTTATTATTTAGGATACCTACAAACTACTACTGTAAAATTACCTGATTACCATGTGCAAAAAACAACTACTTAGTAGCAATATTCAGTTACATGGCTGTTATTGATAACATTAAATAAAAGGAAGGAAGTAAATGAATAAACTGTAGTCAACCTCGTTTATTATGGCCCTGAAATCATAAAAGCAGTGGTTAGACAAATGACGTGGTATTTGAGAACAAGGTTTGATGTCTTGATTCATTATGAACGCCGATAAAGCATACTATTATTTTTATATTCGTTCAAAAAATTATGGAGTGAAACCTAAACTGGATTGTACTCGATATTACTGACAAACTTTATTCTCTTACTTCTACTATACTGCAAGCTTTATTCTCTTCTTTCTGCAAGACTTTTATCATGACTTCCTCGCAATTTAACAAGAAACAGATTTGCTGTACATATTAGGCATGCACATCCAGTTTCATTACTTCCGTCCCTGCCGTTCAGACTAAAATTAGATACAAAATTTAAAACTCACTACCTCTTAATCGATTTTAGAACAGCTTACGATAACGTGAATAGGGAAGAATTGTACGAGGATCTAAAGTATTTTAAGATACCTAGCAAGCTCATAGGCGTTGTGAGGCTTACAACGAACGTTAGCTGTATGGTTCAAATCAGAGGAAAGCGGTTGGAAAAATTCACCTCAGGAAAAGTATAACCCCACCTTATTCTGCCTTCTCTTTGATCTTGCGCTCGTTAAAAGAAGTGAGCGATGCTGGCATACAGACCAAAACCAGCATCTTTAATAGATCTAAACAGCTGCTTGCGTACGCGAATACATCGGAGGACGCTTCTATCAGGCTGTATCGGACTCTTTTGTTGATCTGATGGGTCCTACAAGAATACTTGGCTTGAAACTCGACGCTGTCAAAAACGAACATATTGAAATGTTACCTTTTGGGGTTTTAAAATGTATTCGGGATGCCACTGGATAATTATTGATGGTAATTACCCAGAAATGTATAATAAAAATTAATAATGGAAAATTAGTAAAATAAATTTGGATTTATAATATATTGATTGGCCCAGAATGAAATTTTCTTCTTGTTTTTTCAGAGCTAAAATAAAAAGTGAGATCATTCATTTTTATTTCCTCTTTAAATAGAAAGAAAAAGTCACCAAACGAGCCAAATATATAAATTTCTGAAACTTGCTTAATCAATGAAAATCCACAAACAAAATCAGAGGGCGGAGTTGAATGAAACTGACATGGAGCCATCTAGGTACCAACACGGATAATTAATATAGCTGTCACTTGGATTCGATTACAGAAATCCAGAAAAAGTAATAGAATAGAAATTTTGGATTCTGAGCTTGAAAATTTGTTCTACCTCCCAAACGAATAAAAAATCTCTCTAACAGCATCGAGAGCGAAGAAACAAAAAGAAAAGAACAATGATGGAATCATTTTAAAACCAACATTTCCATTTTTTTTTTAATTTTAAATACTATTTATTTAATTCAGAGAGCTTATTATTTAATTAAAAAGAACTAGATATAGGATCGATTTATCGAAATTTTACAACGGTCACTGCTTGTGAATTTAGAATTAATCACTGTTTTCCTAAGTATATTACTCCATGTCAGTAGCATATCCAGCATTTTTTTTTTCTAATAACAATAATTACTCTTGAAGAAAAGGGGAAAACTATAAAATGATGTTTATATGGTCCTTGAAGGCCAAAAAAAGAAAATGCATTTACAGATAAATATCTTATATTTTTTTTTTATACACGCTTACATTTAGTAGTTGTATGAAAATAATAATTTAAAAAGAAAATACACTGACAGGCAAAAAATTCCACCCACTTGATTTTTTCATGTTTTCATCTAAAAATATTTCTGTTTTGGATTGGTCATGGTATTTGTAGATAACACAGGCGGATTTACAGGGGGAGGGAGGGCTTCCGGGCTGAAGCCCCCCCCCCAAAATTGGTAAAATATAACCATGTTTTATAGAAAAAAATATTAAAAACTATCTCTTAAACTATTATTGTTCGTGTAATTACATTTAATAGCACTTCAAGAATCATTAAGACACAATGTCATATGGGTAGTTAGTTTCTTTCTTTCTTTTTTTTTTCAAATTAATTATTGTTACATATATGAAAAAAAATCCTTCGGGCTGAAGCCCCCCCCCAAAAAAAATTAAATCCTGGATCCGCTATTGGTAGATAATACTTAGTATTTATAGAATTTTATAATCTTTTATACCTTTAATAATCAAAATGTGATTGGGTAATAAGATAGATTAGAGAAAAAAAAATTGAAAAACGAACCATTATTATTCTAAAAGAAATTAATTACATCATCGTTTAGTAGCGCGTGTTTCTTTCTCTTGCCTCCACTACTTCTTGAAGACGCGTTGGCATACTTTCCACCAGTCGGGAAATGTCCCTTTGCTGGAGGATAGCCCATTCCTCCCGAAGAGCCCTTTCAAGGTCCTGCAGTGTATCAGGAAGTGTTGCACGCGCTCTTATTCGTCTTCCGAGGTTATCCCATAAATGCTCAATGGGATTCAAATCTGAAGAACGTGCTGGCCAGGCTAAAACCTCAATATTGTTCTGTTGAAGGAACGTCTGCACTATGCGGGCGACATGTGGGCGTGCATTAGAATAGAACGATTGCCGATTTCGTTGAGGATAGGCAACACACGAGGTTCCAAAATCTCATCTACATAGCGAATGACCGTCAAAGACCCTCCACGAACTACAACCAATTCTGTGCGGAGCTCCGATGAGGCCCACAATCCCAGCCCACACCATTAAGGAACCATGTTGGAAAGGTTGGCTATGGGAAAAATTACAGGCTGCATTTCTTTCGTTTCTTCTTCTCCACACCCTTTCACGCCCGTCTGGAGATCGAAGAGCGAATCTTGACTCATCTGTAAAAAGTACAGCACTCCATTCGTCCATAGTCCAATGGCTGTGTTCTCGAGCAAAAGCCAGCCGTGTTACTTTGTGAGTTCTGGTCAATTCCGGTCCTCTTACTGCACGAAAAGCCATTAATCCATACTCATTTAATCTTCTCCGAGCGGTACGTTCAGAAATTTGCACACCTCGAACTTCTTCGAGCTGATAAATCGCTTAAACAACGGTAAGGTGCCGGTTTCGTAAAATTCTCAAAGTCAAAAACCGGTCATCCCGTGGTTCTGTTACCCTAGGCTGTCCAGAACCGGGCCTTCTATTGTAAGAACCAGTTTCCGGAAACGCCTGACGGCGTCTCGTAAAGTTTCATATGGAACTCCGATGGAATTAGCTGCATATCTAATGGAACGTCTATCATCAATAAGTGCCACACCACGCTCAACATCCTCAGCGCTAAGAATCATTTTTAAACTTAATATTGAAAAAATTAAAAGCCGGAGACTAAGAAATGTGCTGCAACGAA